AACCTGATTGTAAGATGGAAAAGCATCATTGATAAGAAAGGAGACTATTTCATTTAATAAATGTTTTGTTTTGATTTTTATGTTGTTCAGGTTTTTTATCAAAAAAAAGCGACATTAATTTCTTGACGACCTAATAAGTTGTGTAGCAAAAAGTAAAATTAGTTGAATTTTACACTTTTTTGAACCACTAACTTGAAAATGTTACTGTTTTTATAATTTTTAATATATAAGTAACCAATAAACATGTCCAAAAATCATTAGATTTGCAGCTGTGTTTTATACATTTACAAGTTTTAAGATTTTAATTCTACAAAGAAGAATTACAATTAGGGATAAGAAATATATAATTGGGGTTAGCACTTTATATTTGAATTATTACTTTATCTTTAAAAAAGTTGATAAATTTTGTATTAGAAAAAATTTAAATTGGAAAATTATTGTATAATGTAGGTTAATTGAGGAAGGGAAGATGAAACAGAATTTTTGAAAACTTAATGTTGTCATTTGTCCTCATAAAAACACAACATACTGGCCACAAAAAGTTAATTAAATATACATTAAAATGACATTGCTGTGTTTTTGGCAGGAGAAGAGTTTGGGGATACAGCTAGAAGAGAGGTTCTGGAGGAGACAGGCATTGATACAGAGTTTGTTTCTATAGTAACACTACGACATCATCACAAACACCTATTTGAATGCAGTGATTTGTATGTGGTTTGTGAGATGAAACCTTTAAGTAGAGAAATCTCTGTTTGCAAACATGAGATTTCACATTGCCAGTGGATGGATGTAAATATTGTCTCATATTTCTTATGTAATGTTTTTGATTAAGCATGCTATTTTTTAGAATAACTTTGAAAAAAAGTCTAGAAATAATTTTTCCCAATATTTATTTCTTGCATTACTTATATTGCATTGAATTGTAAGAGTTCTAGAGGGGAAAAAAAGTATTTTCTGTCTTAAACTTTGTAATGGTTTATGGTAAATAAGGGTACAAGCCTATGTAAATGTTTGTGTTACAAGTTGTGCTTTCATGGTTTCCTGATGTAATTTTAAAGTAAATATAATTCCCTGATAGTCTTTGTATAATTTGATTGGTTTATTATAAATGAACCCACTCACTTCCTGATCATATTGTAGTATGGTGATTGTACTCATAGTAAGAAGACATATAAGTTAAAAGTAATGGCTTATGGTAAATGAACAAGAATATGTATGATAGGTGTTATAATAATATTCATATATATATGTGTGTGTGTGTGTGTGTAAAGGAAATAATTTCTTCTTGTACATTTTATTACAGATAGAAACCTACAAAAATCATCCTGAAGTTTCTGAAATGAATCAGTTTGTCATTCAGGCATACTTGGATCAACAAATATGCAGGGCTTCTGTGCAAGTTCATGATGTGCTATCGTTCAACAGGGACTGCTACCAAAAGATATACTGTATAAAAAGTACAGAATCAGTTTCTGGAAGTTGATGTTAAAGCAATGATTAAGAACACGTGCAAAAAAAATATAATTCTAGGAAATGCCACTTTACATTTTTTTGTATAAGGATTAATACTAGTTATGAATATAACTATTTGCCATTTATGTTTTTCATGTGATAATTTGTATGAAATTAACAAATGGATAAACACAATTCTTATTCAAACTATTATAACACATAGCTACCAATATGAGTACTCATGAAACATTTAGAATTTGCTATTAGTTTTACAAGACATAATTTAAACAACAAACAATTATGAAAGAGAAATATCAAATTTTATTTTTATTATTTAATAACATTTGTATCTCTTTCACCTTCTTGCAAACCATTTTTAGCTACCTTGAATCTACATGAGTGAAGATTTTTAGATAAACTAGGGGGGGGGGGTCCAGATCCAGGTCCAAGTAGTTTTACCCCAAGTTTGTATATTGGCATATGTTTGTTACACCATGTTTTACGCCATTTTGAAAGGCTTGAAGTATTAATTTAAAGTGAGACTAAAAGCACCAAATAATTTGTATAAGCTATGTACTTGTTTATTGGTGTAAAAGATTTGCACTTCTGATGCATGGTGTGGTTCACTTGTATTTTTCAGTGAAATAGAATGTAAAAAACTTGAGTGCATGTTGATGCATCTTGTAGGTATACAAGAAAGAGGATTAAGAAATAAATAAAATTATAAAAATATAGATAAGAGAGACTAAAGGACAAAACTCCATGATGCAAATTCAAAAGTTAAGAAAAATTTCTAAAAGATGATCACCTGATTTCTGAGCATGACACGATTATTTTGTTCAATTTTGACTATATTCACAAATATCCAGGCATTCTTTATGGAAGTTACAGAGTGCAGAGCTGTTTAATTGGACCTGACCCATGGTGTTTTTAGATTGGGTTTTTAGCTATTTTAAGTACTTATGATAAATCTATGTATACAAGCATTAGGTAAAGAAAATGCTTCCCTTGGTTAAACATCATTGAACATCAGGAGATCTCAAGAATCTGCTCTTTAGGATTAATAATGACTTTGGTTTTTCAAGCTCGGTGCAAAGCATTTTGAGCTGTGTTTCTGATTACAAAATGTTAGTATTACTGTAGTACGTGATTACTTTGTGATCAGCTTCACTTGTAAAGAAAATTTTACCAATTCATTTGTAGATGTTTTATAAAAGCATTCCTCCTTCTCTTGTACTGCAGTGTCTAAGACAAGGAAGAATGTTTTTCAAAAATGTTCTAGATAGTTTGAGTGATATGCAATTGCAGCACCAGAAAACTGTGCCGGTAGTAGCTGTTTTCGTTTTCTGGTATCTTATTCTTGACAACTGTGCTTGAGCTATTAACTGCATCAGGGATAGTGTGTGGTCTCTGTTGTTGAAACAGTTACACAGCATATTTTTTGTCGGTTTGAATTTTCATGGGTTTAAAATTTTCTTGGTATATTTTTCCAGTTCCCGATTTCATTTGTCAAAAATGTCAGCTCATACTTACTGTCAAGACTGATAAGTTCATGTTGTGTGCTTTTTTTACTATAGTAATACAACATATGATTGACTGATGGCAATAATGCAACTAAGAATACAGCTCACCGCTTTTACTGAACATAGAATAGTTAACCTGCCTTTCTTAGTAAAATCGTATGGCTGTAAATTGGAAATGGTGTGGCTTGGTTTGCTGAAGCTTTCCTTCCACTGGACAAGCAAGAAATAAAAATAGGAACAGCAATAGATCTGGATGTTGTAGATATTTCATGAACATTGTCAACAACAATTTCTGAAGTGGATGGAATCTCATCATCAGTTTGTACTCTTATGGCAGTTGCACTCAGGGATGAAAAATAATTTTTGATATCCATTTCTTTCTTTTGTATTAAACTTGTACTGTGCTATTTCACACAGTCAAACACAAAAATTATAGGTGACTAGAATAGTTAAATATCATAAGATTTAGTACAAGGACAAACCAAATGGTGCATTTGTTTTGGGCTGCTCCTGTATGAAATATACTACAAAAGTTACATACAATTATGAAGCACCATGTTGTTACAGTTCGTGTTGCCAGGTCTGGTCATATTCTTATCTGACTATCCTGTATCTTGACACTAGCCCTGCAGCATAGTTCCATTTCCATTGCATAAGACACTGTTGTAAGACTGTTCATAGTATAACCTTTCTCCCTTCTGCTTTCCATAAGAACATTGATTTTTCAGTGGCTGTTTCAATAGTTTGGTCACACAGAAATCTACAGTGCTATGTCTAGCAACTTGACTGGTATGTCTTCATGTGGAATAACATTAATACCTGTTTCATTCTCCAGCTGCTTGAGGTATGTTACAGTTGAACAGATATGTTGTGGAAAAAGCTTGTGTAATTGTGACTTGTGTTGCTTTTCCAGACAGAGATCTTTCTTGATTATGGTGCATTCTCACCTGGCACAAGACAGTATACTTTGCATACCATGGATGGTGTATGTCTTGTTGCAGGTCTCTTTCTGAATGGCCCTGGTGCCCCAAGTTCATCCATATTCCTTTGTTTTTGAATGTAATTAAGTATAAGTAATATCTCCTTGGAAATCCTAACTCCCTGATCTGAACAAATCTTTACAATCTGAGCTTATAAATATTTTGCATCTGAAAGTGCTGTTTCATACCCTTTCCAAAAGCAATCAATTTTGGTGGCATCACTACCTAAGAAAGCCAAGCAATGTCAAAATATTGTTTTGATAAATTATATTTCAACCAAAGTTTATTATAACAGCTGTGGTTTTCATGTGATTTGTTGATTTGCGTATTCAAAATTATTTTAATATAATGTACTCAACCATTTATTTAATGTTCAATGATGGAAAGTTAGATATAATTTGCATTAGACTATGAAATTCCAGAAGAAAAATGTTGGTGGGGTCTAGTCAGTATTTGAATTTCTTATTCCAAATTACTGGGGAGGGGGGTTCAGATCCCTTAATTCTAAAGATCTTCATTTATTAAACCTATAAATTATGGTTTAAAATGTGACTAAGTGAAAATAGATATGCATGTACAACTAACTTTAATACTAAAAAACATTTATAATAAAAAGGAACACCAATAATCAATTAAAACTTTGTAAAAACACCAATAAAGAGAAGGTTGTTGTTATTATTATGCTTAAAGCTACACGATGGGCTTTCTGTGTTGTGCCCACTACAGGTATTGAAACATGGTTTTTAGCATCGTAAGCCATCAGATTTATCGCTGAGTCATTGAAGGGCAGAGGGGGGGGGGGGTTGAAAACGTTAAAGGAATATTACATTTTTGTTTATTGAATAGGAAAAATAGCTAATAAAATAATGATTATAAAACATCTGATTTTCAACAATCGTTTTAACTAGAATAGGTATTAATAAAAAAAAGTTTTTAAATTTTGAAGCAAATTATACTGCAGGTGAAGGATTAAAATTTAAATTTCTTACACGTAATTTAGGCTCTTTAATTCTATTTCCAAATTTTCAGTTTGCTTCCTTCAGTATCAAAAATAAGTATGTAAACTGTTTTTTATTTTCATAACTTTAGATAAAACAGAACTGTTTGGATCTTCTGTTACTTTAAATCTTTCTAATATTGGTGATAGTCATTGTTAATATGTTTAGCACATAAGTTCCTAGTTTTTGGTTGTTTATTAGCAGTAAATATAGGGCAATAATTTAATGCTGATTTGAATACTTGAGAAGTATAACTTTTATTTAAAATGTGTGCTTTATCATTTTTAATAACTAGCTTATGAAACACTACCATTGGTGCACTATAAAAGTGAAGGTAAATTCCTTCTATCAGCCTATAGTTGGCAGTGATTATTGACCAACTGCCTTCCCTCTAGTATATCAGTACAAAATTAAGAGGTGTATGTGAATAGCCTTTGTGTGAAAATTCTGAAACAAATATACATTTTTTTTATATTATTACACTCATTTTATATTAGTCTTTATTTGCATTTTAAAAGCAAACACTCAGTTTTGATTTGTTTTAAATTAGAATTTCATTTACTGGTTATTGTTTTCAGTAATGAGGTGTAATTTCATTCTTGAACTGTAATTAATTTCTTTAAGACTTGTTTTTAATTATCATTTTCCCCAAGTAACCTGTAGGCTCAGTGCGGTAGAAGCAGTTTTAAAGACTAAAAAAGCATTGTCTGGATTAAAGAGGATATTTAGAAATTATGGCTTGATACCTGTTTTTTCCTGATTGTTACAGTTGAGAAATTTCCACTTTTTAAACATATTATCTTTATATATATATATATATATATAT